TCTGGGTCTGTTTACATGCTTTAAAATCTTCGCAAAATTGTGTAATCTTCACAATCTTCTACAAGAGTCCCGGCTTAGACTTGTGTTGTTGTGTGAGCAGACTGTCCTCAGCTAAAGGAAAAAAAGATGGACGGATTTTCAATTGCATGATATTGAAGCACTTTTTTTTCTGTATCTGTTTGTGTTTTTATTCATGTTGACATTGTTCCCTCATCAAAATCATTATTGGAGTTGTTTCTAGTGTCCACACTTATATCACCTTCTGGCACAAGCATATCCCCGCCTCGTCTGTCTAAAAGCTTTGTTATCAAACTCTGCATTCTTTAAATAATTATTTGATTATGAATCAAAGGTCAGAGTTGAATTTCTCCAGTCAAATAAGGCCCTCAACATGACTATCTATGCTTTTATTAGGAATGCAAAAAAACCACATACATTCATATATTAGGCATTAATGGCAGATATTGGTAAAAATTCTCAAGGTCATGTTTAAGGTCCACAATTATCACAAATAATACATAATATTTAGAAAAAAAGGAGAACACTGGACCTCAAATGCAGTGATGGAAGTCAGTCGATTAGGTTCTCTTCAGTGAGGGCAGTGTATAAAATATGTTGTATGTAGTGTAGTAAGTATATGTCCCCATTAATTATTGCATTCATAAGGCTCTCTCTTATTCATTAAAATGCCTTTGTTAATTATGGCATGTCTCAATAGTCATCAGGGAGCGTTTCAGCCAACAGGCCTCCATCAGGGGATCAAAAACATATTGGTTCTACTGTAATTAACATCATACCTTTTCAACTGTCGCTACCCGTTTCCAATTCCCTCTATAGTTCATTATGTATAGTCCATAAATGACTGAGATCTCCAGCATCTTGTTCCATCTCACCTCTGCGGCTGTGAACGTGCATGTGTGCTGTGTGGGGAGAGATTGAGTCAGAGGAGGGGACTGCAGTATTCCTCCAGTGGAATGCATCGATTTTCCTGGCCCAGTGTGGGGATGTGGGAAATGTCAGCCTCTAATTGAGTTGATAAAACCGTTTTGAGTTTCAGACGTAAAAATAGCTCCCCCACCAAACCGCTTTGGCGTGGACCGGTCCCGCGGGTGGGCTGAGCTGAGGACGAATGAAAGGGCCACTTGCCGCTGTGTTGTGTTAACATGTGCATACACTTAGCATGTGCCGTTTATAATGCCGCAGATGATATTCCGACGCTCCGAAGCAGGACGAGAGGGCCGTATAGCCGCATTGACAGCACTTTCAATTGTGAATCCGGACACAGGCTCATCAGATAGAATGGTTTTGTTGTGGGCAGAAATGGACAGGCAGCGAGAGCGAGAGCGCGGCAGAGGTCATTTCCATTAGAAGTGCAGTGAGTGAATAAAGAATTGGCTGAATGGGGCTGCGCTGCCAGAGCTGATTAGCAGATTGCTATGCAGAGAGAGCACATAACTTACCTGCTGCCGTCAATAGAAATCTCGTCCTAATATCAGCTCAGAGCGGGTCAGAGGTGCTCTCTATTTAAGCTTTAAATCATTTGATGAGATCGTTACTGCAAGAGATAGGTAAATACTGCTGTTTTGCACCTTGGGATTATGCATTTTGATTCTCTATGCTCAAAATGTGTTTATTTTTAAACTTTAATTATAGATGGATACTTGCAAATGAGACGCTCACAGTAGACCAATATTAATAACATTTTAATTTATTCAAAGTCACCAAAGACCACAGTTTATTGAAGCCGATTTTTCTCTCAAAATGTCTCTAGACAGAGAGATAGGTAGATAGATATAGATAGATACTTTATTGATCCCCGTAGGAGAAATTCAGGTGCCCAGCAGCAGAAAACTCATACAGGTCTGTTGTACAGTTTGACATCCAAAAGAACAATGGATCTTTTAAAAAGTTCCATTCGGCAGTACACTGCAAAAAATTATCAAATAAATAAAAAAATCGCTTAAATTTGGTTAAATATATTTTAATTTGAGCCCATTCTGACTCAGCTGGTAGAGCATTGGCCTTTGGGCCTGAAGGTCGTGGGTTCGAGCCCACCACAAGATCTACTTCACGACTCCCACTGATGTCTGCTGGCGTTGTGTCCTTGGGCAAGACACTTAACCCCACTTTGCCTGAAGATCAAGGCTCCTGTGGACTCACCACCTGCAGGAGGATCAGTGAGGGGCTGGTGCTAAGTGTACTGGGTGCTGCTCTGACTGCCAACCCCCCGGCCCAGAAATGGATTAAGGGAAAGAAAATGGATGGATGGATGGATGGAAATATAGGATCTCTATTGATGGGGGTAAAAGCAACCTGTCTAAATCCAATCACAGCTCATATTCTCAATTAGTAGCTGAACAATCTAATTATTTGTCCAAGAGCCAACGTTGAACGATCAACAAGCACCGCCACATCTGAACACACAGTTTATCCTCCTGCTTTAAAGACACGAAGTCTGAATGATTTAGTGCAACCTTTATTTACTTATTTGCTGTGCACATCATGAGACAAGATTAGATTTTAGCCCCATTGACAAAGACGAACCGAAGTCTATCTCCATCTCTTCATCATTCTACCATTAAGATGCTGCTTTTCCCTAATCAGATTTAAAGTCCCGACACATCAACCCGTGAGGCGGTGTGTTTCTATAAGGCCTCCGCTCTAATTATTCGTTGTGATAATGAGAATTTCACACATTACTTTGCTGCAGAGACACAGCACTGCCTCTGCTTCTCGCACTTTCATATGTAGACACACACACTTGTGGCAATGCCTACTGATAATTAACTGACATAATTAGCCAGACAACCATTAGTATAGGCACACACACACACACGCACACATACACACACATACCCTGGTAATTAAGAGTATTAATTACCGGTATAGCTGTCCCTGTGAGGCTCCGTATCACTCACTGCCTGGCACGCAGCAGGGCTCTTACTGCGTTATCTGGCCTCACCATCACATCTCTCACGGTGTCCGCACTTACACACATGTACTCCCAAATACTCTCCTGCCGCACAACTAAATGGCTGCTAATTAGCCACACACTGATGGAGGGCCATAGGTTAACTTCTGGTGGCCTGAGACTATGGAAGAGATTTGAAAGAGCTCAAAGGCAGCACAGACAAAGAGCATTTTCAGGGTTTGCCGTTCATTTTATGGCATGAAACTATGGCATTCATAGAGTTCTCTGGCGCCATCTGCACATTTCCTCTGAGAAGGAGCCAGGGTATCGGGATGGAAGAGAAAACAATCCAAGCACAAAATTATATCAATTGTTTGTATACATTAGTTGTTCTGTTGTCCCACATTGTCCTTGGTTATTTGTGTGGTCTTCTCAAACCACCAGCACAATCAGAGGGGGTAAAAGTACTCTGAGGTACTTAAAGTAAAGGTCAGTTAGATTTTAAATTGTGATGATGGAGATTAGGTTCCTCATTGGATGCAATGAATTAAAATCCTTGATAGACAGCTGAGGCCCCTCCCCATTGGTCTTTTTTAATCTTCTTGTCCGGTAAATCTTACTGGTGATGGTTAAATATGTTTGGTGTTAAGAATAGTTCTATATTCTTGTATGTGTTTTAACTGTTGATTCTCTGATCTGTGTTGGTGATTTCAATGGTTTTGTTAAGTCCTCTGAGATGACTTCTGTTGTGATTTAGGGCTATACAAGAATAAATTGTATTGTATTGTATTATATGATATTACCGTCATACTCTCAATATCATTTTCAAATTAAAATGACACTTGTGTAAACATCCACTTTGGTAGTAATATTGGGACATTTTCTTAAGTGTATAGAAGTTTTGAAGCAAACTTTAGTAAAAAAGTAAAAAGCAAAGCATTTTTGCTCTGTATTCTTCATTTTTTGCTGTAGAGTTGTTTCATACTGGCACAGATTATAATGCAGCAGTTATCCTATACTATAGCGTAGCAAAGTTAGAAGCATGGCTAACCACAATGAGTTATTTGAAGTGTGCTTAACCACTTCAAACCTGTATTGGTCCGTGTTGACATTGGTCAATCTTTCTCTTAGGTTCACACTTAAAGCTGCACTAACTGACTTTATTTTCGTATTCATTACAAAAATGCTATCCATGTCCATGTAGTGCATTGGGATATACGTCCTTTTGAAGAATAATTAGCGCAGATTTGTGCTGGCGTGACATTATATTTTAGATCGAGTTTTGATGAAACAAGGAAGAGAATGTGTTTCGGGTCGCAGATTGTGACCAATCACAACGGACCACTGGCCCCCACTTTCGTGAGAAATCTACAGGTCCGTTAGCATAGACGGCTGAGTTAGCACAACAAGCCGAGGAGCTAACCTGAAGCTTCGTGTCTTCATCACCGGTTACTGCTTACTTAGCGAAACAGCCATCCAAAAGAAAGTCTCGTTCCTCCGCGCTTCCCGGTTCTATCGTTCTATGGTCACGCCATCCACGTGCAAATCCATATTCATGTATTATCCATATTGGGAGACACTAGCTCCGTCCCAACAGTGTGTGTGTGTGGGGGCGATAGCTTCGTGGTTGCGGGGAGGGGAGCAGAAAGAGCGAGGCCAGCGGGTCCGTGGCTTCAAAATCCCAAAGTCAGTTAGTGCAGCTTTAAGTAACTCACCCATTTTGTATAGGTAAGGTGTTGAAGTACAGATAATTTGGTCTATAAACAAAACAGTCAGGAAAATAAACGTACAAGAAAGCTACAGATGCCAGAAAAAAACGACTTAAGTATTTTACTTAAGTAAAAACACTTTCCGCCTTCGAGCAAGATTCCAAAGATTTGCCAAGGACCTTTTTCCCATTTTATTCTTAGTGTCACTGCATGACTTTGCAAGACTCAAATCCTACAACTCTGTTCACAGTCTCAGAATCCAAAATTATACACTCAATTTTTAAATAACAGTTACATATGTTTTTCTTCGTCTTGCTTTGGGTGCTCCTTTCATTCTTACCATTCTGTACTGTGCACTGCAACACTGACATTTACCCATCATGGTTCTCTCCACTAAACCTCCTTTCTCCTGTGTGTGTTTTGCAGTGGACGGCTGCACAGACTGGTCCATAGATTACCTGAAGTACCAGGTGTTGGTGGGGGAGCCCGTCAGACTCAAGTGTGCCCTGTTCTATGGCTACATTCGGGCCAACTACAGCCAGGCGCAGGGCGTGGGCCTCAGCCTCATGTGGTACCGCAGCTCCGGACTGGGCCACAGCGACTTCGAAGAGCCCATCTCCTTCGATGGAGTGAGGATGAGCAAAGAGGAGGACTCGATCTGGTTTAGACCCGCGGACTTCCAGGACGTGGGGCTCTACTCCTGCGTGCTCCGGTAAGGGATTCCCCGTCCATCTGCTGGAGGCGGAACTTATCTATCAATCACTAGATTACTGAGCCACTACTAGATGCAATTATCTGGGAATAGGAGCTGATAAAAAGCAACCCATTTTGAGTTTGTTCTTTGAAAAAATCCATAAAAAATCATACATTACGTAGGATATAAAAAAGATTAATTCATAGTAAGCAGTTTAAATTACCTTGTGTATGAGCTTTGCTATACAATTAAACCTGCCTCACCTAATGATATTGATACAACAACTACATATAGACTACATTTTATTTATTTCTCAAAAAGGAAGAAAGGACATTGAGTCGAACCCGTGGAAAAGGCCCTTAAGTATTATTTATGAAAACATTAAAATACTTCCAACATTAGAATTTTTTTGTTAGAAGTGTTTTATTGTCAACATCGCCCAGAAAAAGCCAAAAGCGATTCATATTCAACTGTATAGGGATAAGGATTTCAACCCCCATTGCAGTACATTAGCAAGTGATTGCACAAGAGGCTCCTAATACAAGATGCATAATTATGTGGCAGTAACTTATTAACCTTTACAGTGGAGAACATCCCTCTGTGAACGGCTCATTGCGGCGCCTCATCTCACAGAGTTTTTAATACTGCCGTTAAAGGCCCTTAAAGAGCTGGAGATGCTGGGAGTGCATGGAGTGTGACTGGAGCCGGCTGTTTGTGTACAATGAGACCCAGGCCTGTAGTGCGTTTCATTACTGCGCTGTGAAGGAGTGGACGGCCTTTACTAACATCGTACACTTTGTGCTGTAAGTGTCCAATCCACTGTATTTTTAAAGCTTAAAAAAAACAAGCAATATAATCTCTAAATCAATTCTAAAATTATCAGGAAGCTGTTGTAAGTCTGTGGTTTGTATGAGCAGTTTCTTTTGACGTAGGGATCAAACATATCCATACTAAGGGATTTCTCAAAAAGCAAAGGGTAAGGAGTGCTGCGTGGTATAAGTGTGTAAAATGTGAATACACCAGTGCATGTTTAGAGGAGGGCCTAATGAAGCCCCTCCCTCTATAAATCACATGGGTGCACCATTTGCACCCTGAAGAAGGCCAAGCTTTGCTGAAACGGGTTGGTGCGTATTTTAATCTACAGCCATGAGAAAATAAAGGCTTTTTAAACTTTCTAAACTATTGACCACGAGTGCCTTGGATCCTTTGATTTTCTAAGATCTTCACCATTTGCCTTTTACCCGGAAAGTCAAAAATCAATTTTTTGTTACTATGTCCACAATAAAGTGTTGGAATGATAGACGTATGCACATAATCCAAATATTGGGGATAGCTCAAATGATTAATTTAATGCCATTGTAAGTTACAGGATCTAGAAATTTTCTTTGGTATTAAATTAAAATTGTCAAACATAGATTTTAAGGCATGCCTAACATAATCTGAACACAATTCTAAAGACACACAATAGACCACACAGCATTAGGGAGAGGGACTGGAGGTGACAGATGACGTTCTCTCACAACTACTACTACTGCTTTCCTGTACGACTTTATACAATGGTTGCAGTCACATTTAGTACTGCATTGTCAAAGTCCTGACAACGTAGTTACAAATATAAATGCTTGCACTGGGATTCTTAAATACTGTCCACTCTCGCCCAATGTCAAAACATTTTACAGACAAATACTGACAGAATGTTGCGGTGCGCAGCATAATTCTGTTTCAGTCCCCAATGCTTAAACATGGAAAGTGCCTCTAGCTCTCCATTTAGATACAAAAGTTAGTTTCCGGGCAACCAACAAATCAGTTAAGCTTTTTCTTCAAACTGTAGACTGCAGTTTACTCAATGCGTTTACTCAAAGGTTGCTTTTGGAGAAGTTGAAATTGCTTTATATTGGGCATATTTCCATATAGACTTCTGTTGTTTTATAAAAGTATGTCTGTATTTGAATAATAAAGGCTGGAAGGCGGTGGTGGCTGGTGATGTAGATTCTACGTGGGGCTGTATTTCTTGTGTATTACTTTGTATATTACTTGTATATCACGTCAGTTTGAATGTGTCAACTTCTGTTTTATCAAAATACAGTATAATACCACATCTAAAGTCTCACAGTACAGAACAATATTGATATCACAGTACAGATATTGTATTGGTGATATTTCTCATTATGTGCAATGTTCAAGTTAGGACGCAACAAGAACAAAGTATTGAAATAAATTCTATTCCACGATGTACCTGGTGATTTCTTGAACCCTGGTATAGTTGTTAAAATTCCCTCCATAAGATTTTTGGACCTGACGGGACATGTCTTTGTGTTAGACTTTTCTAATGACTCCGCTCGCTGCTTGGGTTTTCTAATTTTGCACCGGTCCCCAACCCTCGGTCCGCGGACTGGTACCGGGACGTGGGACATTCAAATCGGGCCACAAAGTAAAGCATAAACGTTTTCTGAGTTTATAATCTAAACAGAGTCAAAACAATCTTTTAGTTTGAAAAATAAGCCTATTCTCTCCTTACATTCAGATTCAGATTCATTTTATTCGCCATTTGCAGTAAAACCACATTGGAATACACCTTGGTCACGTGACAAAACAGTGCCGAAATATAAACAGTGATGCTCCCATAGAGGCTCGTAATGGAGAATTAAAAAGGTAGTGTAAAGAAAATGGCGATGAGATGTCTGTGCGGAACTTTACCAAGAGTAAAGAAGAGTGGGGACAAGGAGAAATCCCCAGTATATTGTGTTGTAGTGTCTGTCTGTCACGTCTCTCTCTCTTTAGTCTTTTCAAATGGCCAAACCAAATGGTCTTTGGGATTTGGACAGCGTGCAGTGCAAAGCATCATGGTCTATGTAGTTTACAAGACTGTTTCACTGGAGCCTGCTTTTCTTGTTTTTTTACCGTTACTTGCCGAGTAACACAACCACAGTGATATCGAAAAACTATTACTATCGCAATATCGTCAATATCTTTACACCCAACATCTAACACATGGATGGCTTAAGTAAACATCAGGCCCCGGCTGTCATCAGAAACCTCCTCAGCTCTTCCCACAAACTTAAATCAGCTTCTACATTTCATCCTGCGTCTCCAAATTTTGCTTCCGAAAAAGAAAGCCAACAAAAGTGAAGAATCTCTTATGTGTTCCTTGTAATCCTGGGGCTAGTGCAGCTACAGTATATAGCAGCTGTCCTCTGTAAACCAAAGAAAAAGATGGATAACTCATCAGACCTGCCTCTTGTACTCTTTGATTGGCTTTTGGGAACTATGTGAGATTTGCTGGAGGCGGGACTTATATCTTTTGGTTACTGCATTGGTGAGCCACTACTCGATGTGATTATCTGGGAATAGGTGCTGATAAAAAGCAACCCATTTTCAAATTGTTCCTCAAAAATATCCACAAACAATAACACACTATGTAGAATACAAAAGATGAATTCATAGTTAGCACTTTTAGTTGCCTTGTGTATGAACTGTGCTTTGCAAATAAATGTGCCTCACCTAATAATAATAATACAAAAACTATATGCAACCCACATTTTTCTTTTTTTCTCAAATATGAAGGAAGCGTTAGCCAACAAACCGTCCCTGCCAGATGGATGTATTTTGTATAAAGACAAATACATGTGGAGTGTACTTGGATACGCACTACACAAGACGCAGTAAACCTGTACTACTGGTGATAATCTCCTTTTAAGTGATGTACTACGCAAGTCAAAAGGCGTCATGTTAAATCTTCTTTGAATCCTTCCAGATGTTCCCTTGTGTAAGAGATATAAAGGTGCATAGATCCTGTGAGGTGTGAATCCTGCCGACTATATGTGCGCGGTCACACTTATCTTTGTCCTTCTCTGTCTTCAAATTTCACTCTAATCGCTGCTTGTGTGTGAAGGTGACTTCATTTACATAGCAATCTCTGGGCTTTTCTTTCGCCCAGCCTCCCTCTCCTCCTTCCTCCCACATGTCAGCGCTCAAGAGGCGACCTAGAGTGTTCCGCACCTCCACATACATCAATCTCACTCCGTCTGCGATTCATACGCCGCACTACTTCCATTTTTCACTGGATAAATAATTTTCTCTCATAATAATTGCGGTAATGAGACACAGTTGAAGCACATGTATTTGCTTCCTGCGATTACGCAATAGGCGGCTTAATGCGTGGAAAATTGCAGCTAATAACTCGGTTGGAATAGAATGTGACAGACGTGAAAGATGTCCACGGAAGCGCGCGTCCAGCCCTTCGTCGTCCATCAATCAAACCCCACCTCTGACACGTTTACCACAATGCCGCGGGGCGCCTGTTGTGAATATTCAACATGCAAAAGCCGTTTCACCGCAGACTCCCAGTGGATTTGGGTGGCTCAGGTGCCCGATCGTGAGAGGTCAGACATGATCGTCTCCCCATTATGTACAACACAAGCTTTAAAGATTGATTCTGGTAGTTTGCTTCTCTGTATATGTCCACATCATGGATGTCATGGTATGGTCAAGCTCTAATAGTGAGGTCAAAATATAATCATTAAAACATAATTACACTGCCAAAAATGTTTGCATTAGCGTAAAGAATGGGTCTCCAACCTATAGCTTGCGAGATACTGGTAGTTCACCACACACTTCCAAGTAGCTCTCCAAAGGAATCACACAAATGTTTGATTCACATACTTACAAATTCTGTAAATGCTAGCTACGTGTCTAAATACAGGGGACTTGCCACTCGATACAATAAGATATATTTCTACTGTATCCCATTTAAGGCTATAGTTCTACTGACTGCTTAAAGTTGCTCTCTGCCTTTTTAGTCATGGAAATGTAACTCTAAAGATGAAAAGATATTGTTTTTGCCAAAACAATATCTTGAAGAGATAAGAAAATTCTCACATAGAATGAGAACAAATATTGCAAATCATGTTTTAAGAAGAACACAGATTTTCCCACCTCTGCACCTTCTCCATCGACTCCCACTGATGACTGCTGTCGTTGTGTCCTTGGGCAAGACACTTAACCCCACTTTGCCTAAAGCCCCCACTGAAAGATCAAGGCTATGCTCACAGTCAGAGAGCAGCCGTCCTCCTGTGGACTCACCACCTGCAGAGGGTCAGTGAGGGGCTGGTGCTATGAGACTTGGGTGGCATCTCTGACTGCCACCCCCCTGACCCAGAAATGGATTAAAGGGTAGAAAATGGATGGATGGATGGATGTTTTAAGAAGATCTTGATTCACGATAAACACTGCCATCATTACTAAACAAAAACAACAAAAAATTGCAAAGTGATGATACTGTTTTTGGAATTGTCCTTGAAGACAATCTGTCTTAAACACAAGAACCCACTGATACTTTGTCCAGCCATTAGTGGTCTGTGTCTGGAATGGGTCAGATACATTTTCTGGTCTTACTCACTTTTTAGTTGACTAATTGAAAGGGCATGTCTTTCGCTGACTGAAAAGAATCAAAACATGCTCAACGTCAGAAAACTGTATTTATTTACTAATGTTTTAGTGAATAGACTTTAAATCACCGCTGCTTGTGTACAAGTCTCTCCATGGCTTTGCACCATGTTAGAGCCATATGAACCATATCGGACTCTGAGGAGCACAGGGACTTGCCTTCTCCTGGTACCTAGAGTCAGGACTAAACATGGAGAGGCAGCATTTCACATTTATGCAAGTAAAATCTTGTGTTCTTGAAGATGTGAGAGAGGCTCTGACAATCGTCAAATCCAGGTATAAACATTTCTTTTGAGCTGCACATACGGCTGAAATATTGTTTCTTCACTCTTTTTAATGTACTGTGATTATTTATTATTTTATACATTCTATTTGTGCATTTCATATTGTCAATAAAAGTGAATAATCCAGTATTTTTAATTTTGGTATTTCTATAATACACATGTGGTATAGATCAGCACCCCACATTGTTTGTTCTTTGGAAAAACACGCTGCTCAACTTAGCACACCGCCTTCCACCTCAAATCTTCCCACTGCTTGCTGCAGATAGCATAGGAGTCGATAACATTAGATATACTAGCTCTGGGAGGCTGTTGCAATACCTGCATCTCACTTTTGCTTCCCACAGCATTTTTAAGATGTCCTTTGAGGCGTCTCTGTAGTACTTGGAGCATACCATCTTATTTTTCATCTTCTGTTTGTGCGCTCAATGCCAGCCTCTCTCCAACAGCGTAGCGGATAGCCGTATCATCAGGCAGTGAAGGTGGGAGCGTGCGTGTGTTTTACGGCCGCGAGGGTCAGAGGCGCTTATACGACTGAGGTGACTCCCTTATTGCTTCCATAAGCCTGAGTAGATCATATGAAACCCTGTCATTTACACTCAATGGAAGCATCTGGAACACTGTAAATGTAATGTATTGAAATGAAAGCCCACATGGCCGGAGCACACAGGTTGTTTGTATGCGCTGACCAAATCCTGACACATACTGTACCACTAATCCATCTCATCAGGGAGAAATGTTGCCTTAGTATGTTTACAAGGCAAAACAATATGGAGCAAACAAAAAATAACTGACGGTATTCTGCGTTGCTCCCAACTGATCAGATCACTCTAGTCCCAGTCTATAATAAATTCTCCCTCAATAAAAAAAAATTAAAAACCAGATTTTTTTCCACCCATGACATGATGAAGTGTTGCATACATGTCATTTGTCCCAACAGAATAGTATCTTTATCTTAGTACAAAACATTGTATCTTTGCATAATTGTAAGGGAGAGCCGTGTGCGTCAGTATTTGATGATTGGGGCTGGGAGCTGATTGGAGGGATTTTGTGTCAGCATTTTGCATGTTCTCCCAGTATCTGTGTAGGTTTTCATCTGGGTGCTTTGATTTCCCATACCTGTTTAAACATCCAATTGTACATTTCTCCATTGTGAGATCAAAAAACGTTGAGCGTGTATTTGTGAGTGCGATGATGGAATAACGGATAGAAATTCGCCCAAGACTACAATCTGGTCTATTTACCACCCTGCTATTCATTAATACACACCGTGACAACCAAATAAATAAACACAAATGTATCAAAAATGTCCTTTTATTGTTCGAAAGTCAACCATAGAGACCATGAGAGCGAGTTACTGAGACAAAAGATTAACTCCAGTCTCCTGTCACTTCAACCTTGACACGGCAAATCATGTTGAAAAAGCGTCCTCGACCACATCTCCATCACCTCCATTGAAACCAGTTTCTGACACACATTCTGATGCATCTTAAGACCTTTCCCATTGACTCTCCAGCACGTCTCTTGGGGAATACCATGTTCGGGGAGCACTGGGGACGGCATTATGTCAGCACTGATGAGTTCTCAAACGATAATGATTACAGCCGCGTTTATAAGAGCACCACAAAGGAGGGGGCGGCTGCCTGGGAAGTGCGAGACAGAAACCCAGAGATGATGCATCGCGTGGGGGGGGGGATGGGGGATGTGCATGGGGGATGTTGTGATGACCAAGCAGCTTTTCTCCTCCTGGATGATGCCGCCTTTCTGTGATTAGCATCCACCGGGCCGGATAACTCCCCGCATAAATCCAATAGAGGCTGCCCCGTGCGCGAGGCATTGACTCAGTTAAGCTGCTCAACGTGTCATTATTGCTAACCCAGCAAACGGTAATGTTAGAGCGAGACGCAGAGGAGAGCACGAGAGGACTAATGAGGCAAATACTCTATTAGCATTTTTAGCATTTAGTCTAGTTTACGTTTTTATTTATTTGTATTAGGGCAGTGCCTATTAATCAGTGTGTCAGCTTCAGCACACTGGGAACAGGCTGGAATTTGCAAAATAGACAATCACCATAATATAATACTGTACATAAATGCACCTCTTCAAACTCATCTCTCTGAGGTTTATGGAGATCATGACTGTATATGCTAACCCTCTAGCTCAATGCTTCATGGACAAAGTGTTGTTCCTACTCGCTCTGGCTCTTATTGTCTTGAAAAGTAAACTCCTCCCAGCTCAGTAAACGTTTGTGTCACACTCACCTTTAAAAATGTGTGTCTCTATGATCCTGGTGTTTATGTTTTGGATATTGCCTTTGTAAATTCAGATGAGAGCTACTGTTCAAAGATTGACCTATCAGATGTCTTCCTTCATGGAGATAAACTCTTGCTAGCTTCTCTTATCAACCATGTTAGTAACATTAGTTTGTATGTGTAAGTAGGTCACCTTGTCATCACAAATACCCATATTAAGAAATGTTCTCCAACTATCCACTGTTCAGATTGGCGTCTTCTGTATTTAGAAAACACTGTGGGTGATGTCAGCAATGAGTCCACTCCTCCGCAGTCGATGGTAAAAACCTTGTTCTCCCATCTAAAACAGTACCTGGAGCTGCTGTTATTTCCTTTTATGATAGGGTTTTTCTGGAAGAGTGAATGTCTGTGATCCCTATTCCATCTTTTTCAATTCATCCTCCCACTTCTACACACTTGTGCCTCTGCTAGTCACTCTCTGCTTCACCTGGTGTAGATAGACCGTGCCTCATATACATGCACCAAGGCTTCCAGCTTCCTCAACAACCCACCTCCTCCCCCTTTCTACCTCAACAGTGGGGCATCAGTCCTCACCTCATGCTCCTCACTTCCATTATCCTGCATCACTAGGATTTAGACCCAGTGAGGATTTCGATTTATTAATATCCATTAGATTCCCTCCTGCATACATTATTTCTAAGCACCCAAAGCCATCATTATCCAGCATTTTAATGTAATACATCTATGTTTTGGACTGGGTCATGGATGTATTAGTCAGTGCCTTAACAGACAATAACTCCAAACCTCATGCAAACCTATGAGTCTTAACTGAGTCTGTACATATTGAAACAGTATGAGGAACTTCTGTAGAGGGCATAAATTCTCAAACTTGGTTCGCTGGGATGAATCCTTAGACTGTGACAGAGCTGTTTTCTGAATCTTAAAACAAAAGTAATTCCTTCTAATTCAATTTTCATACGCGACTTGCCATGTTTGATGAGGAACATCACCAGACACTAGAGATGAACGCTATTATGAATGCTATTGCCTGGACCATGACTCAAACATTAAGAATAATTCATGTCTCATCATTAAAATGTACTTTTCTTTGGCCTGTGATAAGACATGCTCTCTATACGTACATACACCTCACAGTAAAATATCCCCAGGCTGGTGACCTGCAACCTTCAGAATGTTTTGTTCTTTTATATTCACAGAGCATCTAAACACTACAACAGGATTATTTGATTAAACTTACAATTCTGTTCAATTCCCTCCTTGTACATTTCATTAAAATCATATAAAGAAAAGTGTGCAAACTGATTTGACTCTTTCTGTTCTCAGGAACTCGACTTACTGCATGAAAGTCTCCATGTCCCTGACTGTGGCGGAGAATGACACAAACCTGTGCTACAACTCCAACATGAGACGCATTGAAAAGGCCGAGCTGAGTAAGACCAAAAACATCACCTGCCCCAACATCGAGGACTACGCCGAGCCGGGAAAAGAGCTGGACATCACTTGGTACAAGGTGGGGAAAGATTCTAACTCAGATTTACTTTAGTTACTTTTTACAGTTAAAAATCACATTGTAATGTGCAGTGTAGACAACAACACACAATATACAGGAAAGAAACACACAGGAAATATATTGTCTCTGAAAAAGGAGCACAAAAAGTAATAAAGTGCTAGATCAACCATTTAAAGTGCTCTGTTCCGTAACTTGTTGGAAGAAACTGTTTTCATGGTGACATGTCCTGCAATGCTCCGGTTTTATATATCACTTTTTTGGACACTGACTAAAAGACGCTTCACTTGTCATTTTTCATTCACTTAATAAACAGCGGTGGCTGCCCTGGCACACTGAGAGAAGCGAGGCAGCCAGTACTGTATGTGCCATTGCCACCAATCTTTTCCACACACACACCAGACTCATTCTAGGCAATGTGGGCGAAGTGCCTTGCCTAAGGACATAACAGTTTGGCACTTTACAGCCGCAGCCGCCCCACTGTGGCACCTGGTGTTCCCAGAGGTCTGCCATCACAGTACTAACCAGGCTCTGCCCTGCTTAGTTTCAGAGATCTAACGGGATCTGGCAAAGATGTATATATTTATAAAGAGCCTTCAGAATGGGCACTGTCCTTTTAACAGAGAGGACCACCTTCTTGAGACCTCTCCTTTCTCTGACTGTGATGTCGCGAAACCGCATGCAATCCTAGAGCCAACAAACAGAAGTTATACGGTATATGGTATACTGACAGAAAATTCACAATCAACTCTAAGATGCAAAGTTTCTGCAGAAAGAAGAGACACTGATGAGCTTCCTTCACAATATGGTTTGTGTTTTTATCCCATTTCAAATCATTTGAAAAAGTAAACCTGCACTGAGCTTTGGAGTCAACACAACAGAAAGGAAAAGGCTGCTCTTTAAAACACATCTTTAGCCTCAGTCATTTTCTTTTTCTCTTAAATTCTATTGCAAAGTCCTTTTTGATTGTAGTTGTGCCATCCATAACTGTTGTTGCATAGTAACCGTGGTGGTAATAGTGCCACGTGTCATTTTGCCAATTCACTTTCACATCCACAAGAGACTAGCAAATCAATCGTTATGAAACACATGCTGTAAACAATGAACGCGGCTGGATTGTAGTCGTGTTGTGGCTTTAAATCGATCTATTTATTACCATTTTATTGTTTTCATCATTTAAAGTGCGTAATGGATGGACTACTACCCAGATAAAATAAAATACCATGCATTTTAGATTTTCCCACACATTTGCCACATTTTTTCCCATCATATTCAATCATATTTCCTTGTCACACATTGCATTTCATGACATAATCCAACACAATATTTTCTTATTTTATTTTGGACACATTTCGTCTCTGGGACAAAAAAACTGAGTGAGCGGTCGGAATTAGCAGTGAACTCTGGTCATGTCCTGAAGTTTCTATATGACGGTGAAGTCAATAATTCCCTTTGACTGACGTATCCAAAGTCGATGCAAGAGCGAGACAAGAGATCTTCACGTTTAACATCTGCATTTAATTATCTTTACAATCAGATACAGAATGTTCAACAAAAGTGCTCCTATTCTAGGCCTGCTCTTTCCCTGTCCGTGCCCTGTCCTGTCTGACCTCAAAAAAAACACACAGGGGCTCATGAGGGAGACTTCCGATGACGTCATCCTTATGCGTCCAAGGGGTGGAGTTTCCGGGTGTGCTGACGTCCCTTGTCCACTGGGAGGCGTCAGAATGCAGTTGGTGAATCTCCCAGTCTGCCTCAAGATTCAGGTTCTGAACTCTTGTCCTCGTCAAAATGTTTATTATTTAAAGTTAATAATTCGCCCTGTTTAAACAGCATTTTATCTTTATGACTCATGTCTGATTATCCTGTGTCCTTGGGGTTTTTCCTGAGTGCACAGAGGTCTTTCTGGCTATGATGTTCAAATGGTCAAATATTAAAATATACAACAGTTCCCCTCTGTTGACCTATATTAAACCAATTTAGGTCACAATCTTTCAATATTCCTTCTGGGTGCCGAGACTGGGGAGCTCGTCCATCATCGCCTTGGTTCTTGGTTCTGGCTCGTTATCTGTGAAGAGTTAATACAGAAAGAATACACACACAACAACATTCGAAACATTCCTTACAAAACTCTTTGATGACCACTGCTGTCATTCTCAGTGGCTCTGTGCCATTTTGTGGGGCTTTGCTCATTTTTCCAAACACATTTTGTTGAACCAGGAAGTGCTGTCACTTCCTTCTCTCAGACCGTTTGGGATAAATGTACATTGTTAATCAAATTGGTATTATCCGTACAGGAGCTAATCTATTTTAGCAGGTTTCTCTGGGGTTAGTCCCTATACAACGGTATTTTGATTCTCTAATCTGTTGCTGACAAATTGACAGCTCTTAAAATTCTCAAAAAATACCTAAATATCTACTCTTGTGCTATACCCAAATACATTAAAATGCTTTTAAATGTTTTTGAATCTCTGTTGTTTCTAATCTATCTCATTAACTTTTGGCATTGTTAACATTCACCTATGTTTGAAACAAGCGAATTTGACAGTATCTAATAAACCTGTGCATAAACTGTAATGAACTTCATCTACCTTTAAAGTAAATACTTTTGGACATAATATGAAGGAAATGGTCCTTTTACCGCTTGATATTAGCCCTGTCTAAAAATAATCTCTATTTTTGAAAGCATCTATCTATTTTATACTCTATTGTGACTCCAAATCTTGGTAGTAGTTTGAGCCAAAGCCTATTCCCAATTTGTGAGTTCTGATTGTAACAATAGCATTGGCAATAGACGATTTTTTATTGGCTGGTTCTTGTTCTGCAAATCACTATTCTATGTATTGTATTTCAGACAATTCCAAAAACAACACAGTCGTTCTCCAATATTAAAGACATACATCTAAATCAAGTTGCCTGAAAGGGATTTTAACTATTTTAAAACGTTTTCCACGATTATAAGGCTATGAAATTAATTATTTAATAAACAAAAGCACATTCATGGCTTCTGTCCGCTGCTTATAACTGTTTAAAGAGTTGTCCCAAACTTAATATGTGTAAATACATCAGCTGTTTGTAATAAACAATAACATTTAACCTGTTCTCCAATGGAGCAGCTCAGAGGCTGCGTCAAGAGCAATGTTATATTTGAGCTATTTTAGATTTAAAATTGTGTTAAAGCCTGTCGTTCTATGTCTGCATTTTAATACTACTCTCTATAAACACATCTGCACTAATTCCTACAGATGTGGAAAACAGAAACATCTAAAATCTGACTCCATTTGATTCCTTTTTACTTTAGTTATTAGAACAATTTGACCTTATTGATACTTATTTCCACAATAGAACTATTTTGATTATTCACTAGTCTAACTATTATTACTATTGTTTATTCTGACACCTCTTCCTAGCGACTTTTCAACCTATAGCTCCTCGAATCCAATGACATTATAGCTCCAGACTATTTCATTCTATTCTATTATTATCTTAAAGAGTAGATCTGTTTGATGTTATAAGCGCTATTATTTCTCCTTTTGAATTTGCACAACACTAAATTTAGAATGACCCCCTATGGGACAAATATAGAATTTTATTCCATTTTGGCAACTCCGAAAATTACTTAATAATTTTCCCATTTTGCTTTTTTTTAGGCTGCCCTTTTCTATTATGTATTTGGTCTTGTAAATATATGTTTTACACTTCTTTCTAATGATTTAGAAGGTTAAGGACCATGACCACCTATGACAATAACATTACTATACTCCCTCTGTTGGTCGTGGTCCAAAGTATAAAACATGCATCTGTGTGTGTGTGTAGATTACTGTTCCAATCATCTTCAGTTGTTCCTCCCGGATCGTCCTCAATTCATATTGTGGGCTTTGGTGCCAAAGTAGAGGCTCATTTTCCTCATGATCCATACTACCGTGGTATCCCTGAAGCAGGTGCAGTTTATCTTTCATCTGAAAAACAAACATTAGAACACAAGAAACGCCCACTTTCCTCTCTTCGCATTGTGCAGCCTGTCAATCAATCCAATTGGGCAAAACATAACTGCATTGACAGACGGTGTGTGGCATCAGGGCAGAGGCTGTAGCCAAATACAGACTTAACAATATGTATGTTTCTAATTTTATACTCCCCTAAATGTGAATTACAAACCAAAGGTGTCCTCCGCCCAACGACAGCTCACTGCGGTTGGACCGAATCACTGTCCGGACAAACAGCAGAGGGAGGGACTCCCAGTACCTTCAGCGAGGTATTTCATCTCAGAGTACTTTCTCAGAGTACTTTTCTCAGAGTACTCATCCCAGAGTACTCTCACTTTTACACCTGTTCAATAAAGCTTGTTATCTTTGAATCTCTAGTACTTACACCGTATGCTGTTGACAAAAAATAATTATTCCATGATCACATTAAAACATTACAGAAAACTTTTGTTATTCCATTCTCCGTTCAGCACTCCTCATTTCACTCCTCAGTTCACTCCACAACACACTCACAACACACTCACAACACCCCACGTTAGTATTGGTCCAGTTTGTTAAGGTCAACGTAGTGTATTTGACATGACGCACAAACATATAACATACACAAACATATAACATACACAAACATATAACACACACAAACATATAACATACACAAACATATAACATACACAAACATATAACATACACAAGAGGCCTGTAATTTTAACTTTGTTATATTTTTCCATGTCCAATTACAATTGTCTCATGAGTTATTTTATTGTTGCAACTTTCAGAGCCTGCAGAACATGCAAAGCTTTGAGAGATTTTTCCTAAAAGGATCCATTTCAAACTTTAGTGTTTAAACCACGTGGTCTTTACTCGGGCTTGTCACAAACTGTGTCCCCTATATTTTTAATGAGCTCTTGTCACTTAAAAAAAAACTCATGCACGTGCAATAAATGTTTTTCCCTTTTTTTTTTAAAGCCAGTTCGGATTCCTTAAAAAATGTAAATTAGTTTCAAACTTTAATACTTC